TTGCTTTCATGTTCTGTTAGAGTGAGGCCTACTGATAGCTTAGCTAAATTATGTGCTATGGAGTCAGAAAAGCCTGGGATTAAATCTTTACTCTGCCACTTCCTAGCTGTGTGGCTTTAGGCACACAATCTCTGTAATTTTCATTATCCTCAGCTTTAAAGTGGGTACAAAAATAACTACTTTATAGGGTTGATGGAAGTATTACAGTTACATAATATATTTCTTCTGCACCTGATGCTGAGACACAGAGTTGCACACTGATCTTTAGATTGATAACACAGAACACATTTGCTACTTATTTCTCTCTTTGGAAGTTAGCCTGGGTGAACCCTTCTCCAAAAATCTTTTCCTTCTCTGAAAAGTTTTGTAGTAATGTAGGTAGGGAAAGAGCATGGCTTATCCACAAGCCAGAAAAATTTTCAAAGCCAGCTGAAGACCAACAGCACAAATGGGCTTGGTATGCACTAGAAATGCAGATTCCAGGGCCCCACTCACAGATTTAGTGCATGAGGCGCAGGATCTAGAAATTGCATTTTTAAACAACTCCTCAGGTAATTCTGACAGACACCAAAATTCAGAATCTATAATAAAAGGGAAGACAAACATCCATATAGTAAAAACATGTTTTTAAAAGAGCAATTTAAATCCATGTGTTCTTTTTTTAAATTTTATTTTATTTTTTTAAAGATTTATTTATTTATTTATTTATTTAGAACGCATGAGCAGGGGGAGGGGCAAAAGGAGAGGGAGAGAGAGAGTCCCAAGCAGATTCCACACCGAGTGTGGAGCCTGACACAGGATTTGATCCCACAACCCTGAGATCAGGACCTGAACCAAAATCAAGAGTTGGACCCTTAATCAACTGAGCCACCCAGGCGCCCCTAAATCCGTGTGTTCTTTTATGAATTGTGATGGTGTGAAAAAAAAATCCTCATAGCAAATTGAGAAATACCTCTTAGGCAAAGGAAATACATTTGAAACCTGGTAGTATGCCTAGAACTTTTAATTTATGAGGTAATGTAACATCAACCCCATGCCTCATTCACTAACATTATGAAAAAATACCCATTAAATACAGAATTCCACAACAAAATCTTTGTTGTTATCCTATGTATTGAAAAAATTTCAACATGGGGAGCAAGACGAGACAAATATTACTCTTCAGTTAAATCATAGTTAATTAATGGTGCATATTCCCCCAATGACGTTGATACTAGAAAGTTATTTAAGGTACTCAGAGCATTATGAAATAATGTTCTGCCTACTCTGTCACTGTATACACACACTTCCTATGTCTACGTCTTACTTCATTTTACTAATTATTGTAAAATTGATACATGTTCATTTTTAAAAATCCAGAGACGATGGGGATGTGCTAAAAATCCCATACCCTCCACCTCACGATTTCCCTTGCCCTTTGTAAGAAAAAGCTGCTTAAAATTTTGAATGTGCCAAGATATTTTTATTACATATACAAGGTAAGCACCTTATATTTCTTCTTTATGTTCTTAAACTCTAAATAACTCATAAATCAATCAGGTAAAATGTGAAAGATTGCCATTCATAGACCTCCCCATTCTACTTACCTGTTTGTTGCCCCGCTGCCACTCTGCATCTTTCTCCTCATCCCTTAAGATGTTGAGATCATCATAGTGGCATCTATCTAAATCTGTGACTGTACATTAATGTTGGCAAAATGTGAGTTCTTTTGGAGGGTTATCTGATTCATCACCCAGCTGTTCACTGAAAGAAATCAAAATTGTATTAGCCTGCCCGTGGCACCCAGGAAAGTAGAATTGAAGTGTAAGAGGGCCTGATTAGGATTGAATGTTGATGGACCAGGGCCTCAACCCTGGATGCACATTACCCTGGCTTGGAGAGCCTGTAAACACACACACACACACACACACATACCCCAATGCCCAGAGTATAAAAATTTTGACTAGTGGGAAGAATGGGGCTTTCTAGATGGGTCTGGTTATCAGAGTTAAAATATCTGTGGGTTTATACAGTATTCTATTTGTGTTGTAGGAAACAGTAGCTAGGAATGTGGACCTAATAGTTGAAAACATACTGGATAACTCTCTCGGTTATGGGAGATACAGTGCACATTTGCACATTCACATTTGACATGCTGAGAGGTTCTGTAATTGAGAACCTGTTGAACTTTGTTTTGTTTTTAAGCCCAATCTTTCCCAAATGTACACATCCGACATATATTTTACTGTGAACCACTTTGAGCCAAGCCATGATCTAGGTACTGTGAATGGAGACGACTGAAGGTCCTTGCTTTAATGGAGCTAGTCTTCTAGTGGGATAAGATAAACAAACAAACAATAATCAAACAAAAGAAGACCCCAAATAATGAGTAATATGAAGAAAATAAAATAGGAAGGTATGATGCAGGGGTATGCCAGGTGCACCGCTTTTGAAACTGTGATTAGAAAGGGTTTGACTCAGGTGGTAACATTTTGACCAAGGCCTGAAGTGGCAAGAGGAGCTGGTTGTGCAGAGAACTTTCGGAGTAGTGTGGACAGCTGGTGCAAAGCTCTAAGCAGGACTGAGCTTGGTTGTTCCAGGGGGTACAGTGTGGTGAAAGCATAATGGAGGGTGTTGTCAAAGGCTGTGTTTGATAAGGAGCTTGGATTTTGTTCTGTGGCAAATGAAGCAATGGGGTTGGGGGTGACACGGTTTGATTTACCTTTAAAGATATTCCTGACTGCTCAGAGGGGAAGAGATTAGGGCTGTGGATGGGGATGGTGACAGGGAACAGGAGAACAAAAAAGGTGAGGAGGAGGTCACTGAGATAGTTCGGGTGAGGTAATGCTTTGTGGAGCTGGGTGGTCATAGCTGAGATGAAGACAGATGCCCAGATTTTGGATATCATTTGGAGGTGCCATCACAGAAGGCTTGTGGTGCCTAAGCCTGAGAGCTGGGTGTATGGAGTATTGGTGAGGTGGTGGCAGGAGGTAGAGAATCGATTGATAAGGAGAGTCAAATCAAATTAATTTGACTATGAAACACCGAACATTTAAAAAAATATATTTTGGTAAATGCTGGTAAAGGGATATTTGTGAACTAGAAAGAAAAGTAGGTAAATGAGCAGATTCCCTGTGTATTGGTTATTACTAACGTATTCGCCTTTGTCTTGTGCAACCTACATGAGGTTGACCTTATACGCTGACCCAGTCATGGTCAGCAGACCTACCAAGAGCCTGAATAGATTGCTTATTTTGTTCTGGCATATGCTGATTGTTACAGAAGGAAAAAAAAAAAACAAGGGGGAAGAGGAGAGGGAGAAAAAGAAGTAGGAGGAAGGGAGGATGGGTAGCAGAGAAGGAGAAGAAGAAATAAAAAATATAAATTATTGCGAACAACTTCCCTCTAACATTTTCACATATGAAGCCTTACCATTTGTCATGAAGGTGAAAATAAAAGCTGCCCTGATATTAGGTGCTGTAGTATGTGAGTTTTGCAGGTGAACTATGTGTTAGGCAGATGCACCCTGATATGGCGGAAGGAAGGTAGCTCTTGCTCTCACCTTACAACAGTTTTACAAACACCAGGAGGCTATTTTCTACCTTTTTTTTTTTAAGGATTTAATTTATTTATTTGAGAGGGAGAAGCAGGCTTCCAGCTGAGTAGGGAGCCCACAGGGCTCGATCCCAGCGTCCTGGGATCAGGACCTGAGCTGAAGGCAGATGCTTAACCAACTGAACCACCCAGATGCCCCTATTTTCTACCTTTCTGAACTTTAATTTCCTTATCTGCACTTTGTGCTACCTTAGCATCATTCTCAAGGTCTTTCTAGCTTTCAAATTCTAGAGTCTGTAAGTCTAATTTTAGGTCTTTCCAAATTATTATTGCTTCCAATTTCCCTTAACAATTTTTTTAATACAGGTGCTTTTGTTTTATTATTGTTTTATTAAATAACTTTAACATGTAGCAATTCTTTTTTTTTTTTTAAAGATTTTATTTATTATTTGACAGAGAGAGAATGAGAGAGAGAGAGCACATGAGAGGGGGGAGGGTCAGAGGGAGAAGCAGACTCCCTGCTGAGCAGGGAGCCCGATGCGGGACTCGATCC